GGCGTCCGATCGCAGGCCTTCCGCTCCTTGAGTTCTCTCCAGCGCTGGAAATCTGATCCGATATTTACACGGATCCTACTTCTTGCCTTTTTGCCTTAAGCTTTCTTTTGTTCCGCAGACGTTTTTTACTCTTTTGTGTTTTATCCGCCATCTCTATCTTTCTGTCGCTCGGCTCACTAATGTGCGTCCTGTGCACTGAACGCTCTCTCCTCCACATCATGAGTAGACACGCCCCTTACTGCTGATTGGCTACAAGTTTGTTTTGCTAGTCGGCCCGAATCAGTTTTCTAAAGCGTTTTTGAAAAATCACTTACCCCACCTTTAAGTTGGTTTAAAATAAGCTACATTTTACCTAAAAACAGCTGCAATTCTAGATGTAAACTGACATATTTTAACATCACATTTTGTTACCTCAGCAGTTGTCATTTCTGTTTTTTTTTCCCTATTTTTTATTTTAAATTCACTCGTTTATACATGTTTTCAAGACTGTGGATAATGAGAGAATTGCAAAAGTGTGATTTCTAGACCTGGAAATGTCACTAGTTAATCATTTCTAATTAATATACATTTGTAATAGTTCTGTCTCTGAAACATTCTATCAGGTGGGAATTTCTGAGAAATTGCGATTTTAATTGTTTTTAAGTTAAAATTATATTTTATATTCAAAAAATGGCAAAACAAAATCCCCCTTGTACTACTGGAAAGTTCAGTTTTTGAAAAATGTGAAATTACAGAATATAATTAATTATTATTATATAAATTATTTTATTTAATTATCTTAATATATCCTCTCTGTAAACAAGCCAGTAAACCATTTTGAAAACAAGTGGCTTTGTCATTATAGCAGAAGTACCAGAAATATCTTACCGTACATGGGGGGCCTTTGATTATTGTCTTAGACAATGAGGGGCCTTGAAATCAAAAAGGTTGAGAACCGCTGTTTTTCAGTTCTCCTAAACATTACTTTAAGATATGTATCAGTAATGTAGATGTTGTATGAGCAAAACAAAAGCACAGAGAGGAGCATAAACTGCCTGTTCTGCAGTCGAATAGGAGTAATGTAATCCAGTCCAGTATATTTTCTCTGTTGTAATTGGGGTTTGTATTTCACAGTTCCACAGAGAGTGATACAGCATAGCTCACGTGTTGCTGCTCAGGGGCTCTTTCCGGTTATCAGACCCCTTCCTTTGAGTCCTGTGAGCAAGAGGACCACAGCCGTGAGGTTAGAATATCCTTCTCCAGCAGTGTTGTTATTGTTAACTCAACTATTGAAATCGTTTTTGGTAATTGAAAAAAGCTGAAATAAAATAAAATATTAGATAAAAAACTAAATGTAAATGTTGGCAACTAACTGAAGTGAATATGAAGTGAAATTTAATTTGAAGTACAAACATTTACAAAATGAAATAAAACTCAAACTCAAACAAAAATTAAAGCTAAATGGAGATATTAACAATAATAAAAATGGCAAAAGCACATAAAACTAAAATGAAACTGTATTATATAATATTAATAATTACTATAATAGTGAATAAATAATACCTTTCTTGTCTTTAATTCATATAAATGGAGCTGACAGAAGAAAATGCCACTGCAAAGCCGTTTAAAAAAAAACACAAAATGCATTTTGTCTTGTTTTATGCCATTAAAATGTTTTTTTCAATACATTTTTTTTTTTAACATAAACCTTACTAAATTTTGTTAGATATGTGCTTAAAACAAGAACTAATTTAATACAATTTAATAAAAAAAAAATATTTGACCATCAGATTGGTCAAATACTGTATTTTGGATGTTTTCCAGTATTGGCCATTTAAATTTGTTTATTTTCCATATTATTACATTTACAGTACATCTAATGCTTACTTAAAATTAATCTTTAAAAACAATAATAACTAAATAGTGCTCTTAGTAAATCTCAGACTGAATAATCATGTTTTATACTGTATATTATATTATTCACATGTAGCATTTTAAATGACTCATTTGAGTTTTTATTATTTAATTTTTAATTGTAATATCAGCCATTTATTGATTACCAGCCATAACATAACACACCATATATACCCTGAATACACAGCAAGTCATATTGGATAATAGCATCTGTGTAACTTTAATAATGGTTTGCCTCTCTCTGTCTGCCTTAACAGATCAGCCCTGGGCGACTATCTGACCCGGGGTAAAAACAGCCTGCGCAGTGACTCTCCTCCACCCAGCGATGATCAGCAGGAGGACCACACATACAGCAGCTCACAGTCCCTAAATACAAAGGGGGACATTTCTTCCTCCGTCTCCTCCTGCTCCACTCAGGGTTCCCAGGAGGTCACGCTCACTGAGGTCAAGGAGGAGCAAAAAGATTTTCCGCTGGACGCCACGCCACCTCCTTCCCAGCTGCTCCAGCGCAGAAGACTGCTGTGGACCAAAGGTCACCTGCGGACCCCCGGCGACACGCTTCCCCTGAAGAAGAGGCGGGCGGAAAAGCTCCTGGTCAAAAAAGAGGAAGACAAGGAGATGGAGGCGGCGGGGTCGTTGCTTCACCTGGCCGGTGTGCACACCGGCGTGAATAAAAACGCTCTGCGTACGTGTAAGAAGGAGCTGAAAGAGGAAGCCAATGATTAGCAATGAACGAAAATCCCGTTAACACAGATCTAAATACTTCTGTTCCAGGATATCAGGTGAATTCTAGTCAGTTGTTGCAATATCAATAAAATCACTGTTGTCCCTTGTCAAATTTGATTTCTAGGGTGAAAGATTCTAATGTTCGTGTTGTTGTGTGTGTGTGTGTGTGTGTGTGTGTGTGTGTGTGTGTGAGAAGATGGATAAAAGCCATAGTAAAATTTGGGTCATTTGAGTGAAAAATGTTTTTCTTTTAATTCATCAATTAAAAATCACAATTGAAATGAATGAATTATGTTGTAGCAATCCTTCTAGTTCACATCAGAAAGCTGAATGGAGAGATTTTTATGCTGCTCAAGTGTGCCAAAGATATGAAACCTGTTGATGAAAGTGCAGTTAATCCATGCACACTTAGTAAGACCAATAATAGTTTCAAAAAGTAGCGATACCAACCTATACAAAAAACATCAGATGAATATCTAGGTCAATGACATGACGCTGAGTTGTCTTGGTCTGGGTTTATTGATTGATTTAAAAATGCATTAAAAATCCAGTTCATACATACAATGCGTTTTTTGTGATGGGCATGGTTTAATTTCTGAATTAATAGTGATCGTTTTTGGGGCATAAAGTTACAAATGTCAGTTTGATACAGCCGTCCTCATTAAAAGTAGTATGGCATTAAATTTTATTCCTTTAAAGGGGTCATATGATGCGATTTCAATTTTTCCTCTGCTAGTGGACATCTGTCAGCGTCATACATACAGTATATTTGCTACGCAGCATCTATCATGATGTTTACACTCCACTTCCGCTTTATGTATGAATCGCTTTCTGAATGTTGTGTGTCCACGGGGGAGCGGAGCACAGACATATCAAACATTTCAAAACATTTCAGCTCGATATTTCAGCACTTTTTTTTTAATAGTAGGATAGGACTGTTTGTCTCCGGCAGGGGGTCTAGTGATGGAGCGGCACTGTAAGTGTGAGTACGATGTAAAATGAGAGACGTACAGTGGGATGGCCCTACTTTATTTGATCCGCATATAGGCAATAAGCTGCTGCTATGCTGTTTTGCTTTCAATTTATTCCAGTCCCATAATATGCCATTTGTTTTGTGTAGCAAAAACAACCTATTTAATGACTAAGATTTATACAAATCCATGTAAGACAAAAGGGAGGGAAAAATATGCATGACTTATTTATTGGAAAACTCTCACAGCCTCTGAAATTGTGTGAAATAATATAAGGGTTTTGTCAATGTTGTTGATGTTGTTTGTTTTTGCCAAATATGTTTTGGTCCTTGTACTTCCGTAAGTCACTAGTGGTCTGGTATGATTTTTAGAGCACAGTGGAATCATGATGAATATGTATTTGACCAGGTCTATTTTCAATACACTCAGATGCCAATGCTGTACGAGTATAAAGCTGTCTATTTCCTTGGTGTGCAATCATATTGCCAAAGAACAAGATCAAACTATTTCATCAATTCATGTAAATAACCACATTGTCTATATGACAATAAATGTCACATCATGTTGTTACTTTTCCACATATTTCTCCTGAAACTTAACATAATGTTTATGTAATGTATTGTCTTCCAGTTGCAATAATAAAAAATATCAGAGTTTTAAATGACAAGTCGTTTTCATTTATTTATTTTCAGTAGTAATTCAGTATAGCAAAATTTATATTATATTATATTCCAGCTAAGGAAATTATAGCGGAAAATTATTTTTCCGCAATCAAATTATTTTTGTATTATTATTTATTTAAAAATAAATAATATATACATTACATTTATTTATTATTATTATTTTAATTTATTATTTTTCTGCTATTTTTCAGTTTAAATTAAAAAATAAAATAAAAAACGGAAAATTATTCCCTTTTTTTTTTTTTTTTCTAACCTTCTTC